TTGTTTTATTTTTTTTTATTATATTTGTTTTATTATTATTATTATAGAATATTGTCTTTGCATTGTAAGATGTTTGTGTTAGCCTACTGCTTGGTAAAAGTATAGAATATAGATATTGAAGTTGTCAGCCCCCTCTTCACTTTTTTTGCCCCCCCCCCGATTTATTGTTGTTATCCCCTTTGCCCCCCCCCCCCCGAAAATTCACTGTAACCGCCTCTGATACAACATGCCATATACGAAACATTAAAACACATGACACAATCAACCTATAGGCCTGCAGTAACATAACGTTACAGTTATGCATCTAATACATCCACTATAAAGAGATGCGGGTTCATTTTGTTTTTGAATGTTGTTACATTACTGTCTTAAATAATGTATCCGTTGTATATTGTTTTGTGTAGCGCGATGATAAGGACGACCAACAGTGAGACCATGAGAGCTCGGACAAATCTTTCAGGCTCCTTAGAAGGATATAGTGAATGTAATTTTAATTTAAATATTTGTTGTACTAAGCTATTATCGTTTATCATATTAAAGAAAGAGGTAACTGTAATCTAGTATCCATCCGTTTGTGATAGTGTATGGTTCAATATCATTATTTTTATCCGTTTTCTTTCTCATCTACTGTATAGAAAACGGCAGAAATACTGATACGAAACAGCGGCCAACCCTACCTACCCTCGGCACAAAAAGGCTGGTTCCCTTTTTGCTGATCTAATCTCCGTATCCCGAGTTCTCAGATGTCACAGTTCTAAAAGAAGGGAAAGGTGTGGGTTGTGCACAGCAGCACGCTCGCCCGGAGCAATCCAGTTGACAAGCCTTTCACATCAATCTTCTCTAAATACTTTTTTGAGTCTGGTACTGCGCCGAGTGTCCTGGCGATTATCGGCCGGTTTGTTAAAGTTGTGAATATTCTTAAACATAGACATGGATATGCACAGAAATATATACGTATATGTCTGTATGTCTGATAGATATACATTTATCTATCTGTTTGTCTAGACTGGTAAATATGCATTTATTTCTTTAATTATGCATGAGCGAGGCCCGACCCAAAAAATATTCGTATACCTGACATGCATAAATAAATAAATGCATATTTATCAGGCTAGACATGCATATCAACCGGGCAAATAGATAGTTAAATGTGTATCTATCAGATATATAGACAGATATGCCTTTATGTCTGCATCTGTATTTATGAAAATTCATTGGGTCGGGCTTGGTACAGTTTTAACAAACCGGCTGTATAACTTCTTTACCTCGATTTTCAGTTGCGACTTCTGTATATTTGTCCATTTTCCCCTGCTCTTGACACTAAGGTAGAACTGACACAAGATCTGGACCTTTTGCTATTAGAACAAGGTCTGGCCTCCGAGCCTGTATCATGATCTGTCTGTATGTCGTAGACGCAAAGTAGCAATAATGTCACCTCAATTGCGCACGCCTTACTAGCACGTAGTTGTACCATTTCTCACTACACGGCGGTGGCCCTTTGCACAACTTCCAGTGTAAAGCTTATGCCACACCAACACCCCTTTTTGATACCAGCTCTGCGCGAGAGTAGAACATTCATTAGCAATGTGGTTGACCGTTTCTTCTTTGGTCTCACATAGTTTAAATGTAGTGGGTATACCCTGTTCTTGGTATAGCCTTGCCATTATATAATTAATTGGTAGGCTCTGCTCTTGCGCAACCACGATGGTCCATTCAGTCTCCCCCTGCAGTTCTTGAAGCCAGCCCTATTGCTCGATAATGTTTATTTCCAGTATTCATCTTAAGTACTGGCAATTCTTTTTTTCTCTCTCCAGTGTTATTTCCTCTGATCTTCCTCTTCCTAAGCTCCGCGTCTTCCGCCTGCATTACTAATTTCTCCTTCCATGGTCTTTCTCATACTGGCCCAGTGTCTTTCACTCGCTGCTTCAGTTGTCTTCGGTGCTGGCCAAGTCCCTTCCTCCTTCGTCCTTCATCGTGGATACAGTGCTCTGTAGATGGTAAACAACTTCCAATTTCTTTTGTCTAAAGTTTAAGCCTCCTCTTTCTTCCATTTCACTCTACCTGCACTATACCTGATCACTGGTTCTGCCCAAGTACTTACAGCCCAGATAGTGTTCCCGTCAATAATCTTTGATTCGATGAATATTCATTCCAGTACTTTTGCTTCATTTTATTTGTGCTCGATGTCATCAGCTCCTAGTACTCTAAGGTATTCACGTCCTTAATCATTTTTGTTACTAGTCTGCTGGTCTGGCAGAATATTTCCCCTCAAACTGGCTAGCTTTTCTTTCTTGATCTTCATTACTCCGTGCTTCTGGACGCTTAAGTACGTTGTTATTATTATTATTACTATTTATATTATTACTGTTGTTGTAGTCATTACTTTTCTTGTTATAACCATTATATTTAGTATTACTGTTATTATCATTGCTATTATTGCTGTTATTATTATCGTTGTTATAGTTATCATTTCCAATATAATTTTGGCATTACTATTTTTATTACTATTATTATTACTATTAATATTATCATATATACTATTTTCATAATCATTAATGTTCTCCTTCTTCTTCTTCTTATTATTATTATTCGTTTTATTATTATTACCATTGTTAACATCATTAGTATTATCATTATTATTATTATTGTTACTATCATTATTGTTATTATTACTATTATTATCATTAATGATATTAAGATAATGATGAAAATTATAGTAGTAATTATCATTATTATTAGCATCACCATTACTAGAATTCTTATCATTGTTGTTTCCGTTATTATTATCATGATTATCATTACTATTACTGCTATTGTTCTTATCATCATTATTATTATCACCATCATTATTTCTACTATTATCCTTATCATTGTTATCATTGTCGTTATTATAATTATTGTCGTTATTTTATCATTGCCAACATCATCGTCATTATTGTTATATCCATTATTATTATCATTGTCAATCCCTATCTGTCCATTCTTCCCGTCGCTCTCTCTCTCTCTCTCTCTCTCTCTCTCTCTCTCTCTCTCTCTCTCTCTCTCTCTCTCTCTCTCTCTCTCTCTCTCTCTCTCTCTCTCTCTCTAATAATGATGATGATGATAATGAATAGTAATATTGAAAATAATAATGATATTGATAATAATAAAAATGATAATGATAGTAATAATGAAAATTATAATATTTAAAATGGTAGTAGTAATAATAATGAAAATAATAATAATAATAATAATAATAATAATGATAATGATAATAGTACCAATAATAATAACAATGATAATATCATACTAATGATAACGATAATAATAATAATGTTAGGGATAAAAAAGATAATTATAATAGAAATTGTAACAATGATAATAACGATAATAACAATATGAGTAACGATAATAATAATAATAATAATAATAATAATAATAATAATAATAATAATAATAATAATAATAATAATAATAAAAATAGTAACAATGATAATAACGATAATAATATCAGTAACGATAATAATAATAATAATAATAATAATAATAATAATAATAATAATAATAATAAAAATAGTAACAATGATAATAACGATAATAGTATCAGTAACGATAATAATAACGATAATAATATCAGTAACGATGATAATAATAATAATAATAATAATAATAATAATAATAATAATAATAATAATAATAATAATAATAATAAAAATAGTAACAATGATAATAACGATAATAATATCAGTAACGATAATAATAATAATAATAATAATAATAATAATAATAATAATAATGATAATAATAATAATAATAATAATAACAATAATAATAATAATAATAATAATAATATTAAAGATAAATTCGCACGCAGATAGAATTAGGGGTGTCTGGTTTCGCTGTCGAAGAAACGATAAAGGATTCATTTGATTACATATATACATTTATATTTATTTTACATTTATATTTATATTATATTTTATATTTGCATTTACATTTTTTTTAATATTTCATGTTTACATTTACATTTACCCATTCATTTTATATTTGCATTTATTTGTTTTATAGTTACGTTTATTCATTTTATATTTACATTTATAATTTATTTTTTATTCTATATTTACATTTATATTTATTCATCTATTCTGTATTTACATTTATATTTATTTACCTATTCTGTATTTAACATTTATATTTATTTATTTTATATTTACATCTGCTTAGATAAATGTATCCCTGTGATCGTTCTGTCTATAGGTTTTCTTTTATGATATTAATCCCTTTCGTAGTATTTTGATACATTTTTCATGGTTGTACTGTATGTATGAATCAAGCAATGGATAAGATCGAATTGAATTAGCAGTACCATTGTTGTTGTGCTTGTTGTTGTTGTTATTATCAATATTATTATTATTGTTGCTGTTGTTGTTATTATTATCATTATTATTTTTTTAATTGTTATTATTATTATCATCATCATCATCATTATTATCATTATTTTTAGTATTGTTGTTGTTGTTGTTGTTATTATTATTATTATTATTATTATTATTATTATTTTATTATATTATTATTATTATTATTATTATCATTATTACTATTACTATTATTATTATTATTATTATTATTATTATTATTATTATTATTATTATTATTATCATTATTATTATTATCATCATCATTCATTATCATCACTGTCATCGTCATCATCATCATCATCATCATCATTATTCATGATCTTCGTCATCATCATTCATCATCATGATCTTCGTCATCATCATCGTCGTCATCATTATTCATCATCGTTGCCATTATCATTCATGATCTTCATCATCATCGTCGTCGTTATCATCATTCATGATCTTCGTCTTCATCATCATCGCATCATCATTATTATTCATCGTCGTCATCACCATCATTCATGATCTTCGTCACCATCATCATCATTCATGATCTTCGTCACCATCATCATCATCATCATCATCAGTCATCATCGTCATCATCCACTCCTATTTACCTTCATGGCAGATCGTGTTTCTGTCGGAGAGTTAGTTGCATTTCGATAGTCTGTTCCACTTGGCAGCAAAACGTGATTGACTGTTTTCACGTTATTACGTTTCTTAAGTAGCAGCATAACAAGTAAGGAATCTGTCGTTATATCCGCAAACAATCAGTCGGCCTATCCTACCCATTAGCCTCATTTTATGGCTGAGTTTCCACACAGGTAGGAAGTCAATAGATTCCATCACTAGGTTCTAATAAGATTTTGATGTCCCACATAGCAGCCAACTAACAGGCCACCATAGTTTATATCAAAGTTTCCAAACAAATAGCAAGCCACAGCGAAAACCATCACTTTTACAGACAGCCAATAGCATCTCCTGGTTTTCTATAAAGGTTTCCATATCACTAGCAAGCAAATTTACCCCATCAGTTCGACAGTGCTCTTTCCTCTGCCCTAGCTTGTATTTCTAAAAGCACATCCTGATAGTTCCCCAACAAAATATTTTTTACAGGGTTTTTATTCAACACCAGTTTCCATTCAAAGAGCGAGTCACTGCAGACTCCATCACTCCTATCACAGTCCCCCCTCAACCTTTGCGCCCTCCATTCAGAAATCACCGTTTTCTGTGGAGGGTCCGTTGACTCCTCGACGATCGTCAATGTTTGTAAACACCGCGATGGAGGAAGGGGAGATCGCCGCGCCGGCCGAACCTGCCAGGAGAAAGGCTGCTACCACTGCCTCGCTCAATATCAGCAAGAAAAATGCCACTCGGTTGAAGAGAGTAGGTTTTCATGGAGGGATCGGTCACATTTTACGAGGCGTTAGTGGGACGCGGGGCCCATAATCGGGATAAGAGTCCTGGCGACGGCCTGGATGGAGAGGGTGCCAGCCAGCCAGGTGTCAGACGCCCACGGGCTTTGTTAGGACTCTCTGAAGGATGAAGGCTTTACGGAAACCACCTTGGATGCTGGGGGTGTTTTCGGTGTCTTTTTCTGATTAAGGAGGTCTGCAAGTGTTACGGAAAGAATGGAAAAGTTGGCTTGGCAAGTGTGAATGGAATGTTAATGGGCTCATAAATGAGCCCTGTATTTTATAAACCTATTTCTTCTAGTAGGAATTAAAAAAATTGTCGTGTCTTTATATAAATTTTGACAACAATAAATATATTTCTATACAAAAAGATTGCATTTTCAACTAAATATAGTGTTATCAAAAAGTAGATAAGTGGTAATATATGTTAGGCCTGTTTGGTATACTTTTCATGTGATGATACATAGTAAATAGGTTTTTATATTTCTGAAACAACGAATTTTTGTCATTTCTTTTAGATAATGAAATTTATAGTTCACTTCAAATTACTCTTTTCATTAACTTTATATGTGTTTATGTCATGATTACCATAATATTTACATATGTGAAATGTCAGCGATATTTCCAATTTCATTTCCATGAGTAATTTGGTAAAGCAGTGTAGTATAATTAATTTAAGATTAATGATTTAGGGAAAACATGTATAATTTTCAAAGGATCTCATTAAGATAAGATATTGAAAGGATAGAATCAGACAGGATTACCTCACAGGCCTGTAATCATTACAAAGGTTTCTTGTTAACTGAGACCTATGCATTACCATTAGACTTATACTGCTTCTGTCGTTCCTACTACTGTAATAGTAATGATGAGAATGCTAATGACGTTAGTGTGGTGATAATGATATTATTGATTGCGATATCATTATTGATATTAATGATATGCTATAATCTATTTGATTTTCTTTATAGTCATGATATAGCAATAACTAGAATGATTTTAGAATCATGTGTTAGTTATCTTTAGATTTAAACAATATTTGAGTACCAGATCTTGTATAATGGCACCCCCTCCCTAGGGTCACTGAAAATCAGACTTGGTATTTTCGTATACTTATGTAAACATTTGGACATTAACTGTACATATTCATCTATATCTCATTTCCAGGTATCATCCATACTGAGAAAAAAACATGACAGTCTCACTCCAGAAGAGAGACGAATTCTTGAGGAGAATTCGGAATTAGTTGAACAATTTTATAAGAGGTAAGTTAGATCTGAGATCTATCAGGTAAGGTATTGATACCTCTATCATAGATTTTGTTTTTGTTTTTGTATTTTGCTAGTTTTAGGAATTTGTTTGCACTTGTGTATATATTCATATTCATATTCATATTCATATTCATATTCATATTCATATTCACATATATATATATATATATATATATATATATATATATATATTATATATATATATATATATATATATATATATATATATATATATATTATATATATATATATATATATATATATATATATATATATATATATATATTACATGCATATGTAGTTACTCATCTTGTCCATATGGATGATATGAGTCTTTTGGAAGGACATTGACATATATTAATATCACTATGTCTTACATTTCCTGCACAGTTCTCTAGTGATAAAATTTCTTGACCTTCTTGGACTCTTCTTGAACATGTAAAAAGGTTTCTATAGGCTCCATAGAATTTTACCAATTTTACATCTTTTTATCTGCACCATACCAGTAGATAATGTTACACAAGAATATATTACCTTATTTCATTGCAACATCCTTGTGCCACCTGTAGGACAGCATTTTGTGCAGTGTCACCCGTTACATGTACTGTTCATTTAGTTTTTCTTTTATTATTATGTTTATATGGAGGTGACTTGCTCAAGCATAGCACTTTGTGACCATGTAGTCAATTATTAGGCTTACCTGATCTTACCTGTTAAACCCATTCTTTAAATTACTGAGATTTTTTTTAGGCCTACTTTTATTACTGATATTATTATAAACATTATTATTCTTATTATCATTATTATGAACAAGATGTTGACAGTAATGAAAATATAGATTTTTCTTCCTGAAAATTCAAGGATTGGGAATATAAATGTCATCATATAGGCTTGCTAAAGGATTCCATGAGGGCCATCAATCTATATATAGGAATAATAAAACAAAACCACAGTACACAGAGCAAATGCGTAATGGCCCCAGCATCAGTATGAACGCACTCGTCAGAGACTAGCCTAAGTTCCCAATTCCTCGTAAAAAAATTTATTCATCAATCTAAGTTGCTGCGACTACTGTAACTTTTTGTCTTCTACAAGAATATCACATTCAATTTGCTTAGTGCGTCCATACAGTAAAGATTAACCAATATACCTTAGTGAGTGACCTGGAGATTTGTTTATATCCAGTAATATGGCATCTGATGTAAACAAAAGTTTCTGTTTAGAGCTAGGAGATAATTTGTTGAGTGTTACACTCTGAAGAATGAGAATGCAGACTTGGAAAATGATGACCTGTAAAGCTTTTGCTGTGAAAGAAGCTGGGTAGACATAGAAAGAGAACTATGATTTGAAGACCTAATCAGGGAATTAGGTCACAGCTATAAACTCCTCTCTTAAATTCTACTTCTTCCATAATGTCAGTGTAATCCATATTATCTTTTATTTAAAAGGAATGAAAGCTGTAGGTCAGTCTAAAGAATTTTGCTGTATCATTGCTTTCTATGTATTTTGTGTTAACTCATTAGCATTGTGTAGAGACTCTGTTCACCATGATTTTGTTCAATTATTTTTTTTACTTGGGTCATTGCAGCTCTTCATAAATGCTTCGTCACCAAGGGATTAAATACAAGGCTTAACTAATCTTACCTAATTTACTCTTCCTTTCATTTCTTGATTTTTTTTTTTTTTTTTTTTCCATTATTGTTGTTATTAATTCCATAGCACCACAAACTCTCTAGCCTGTGTATCCCGCCAACTGCAGAAAAGGCATGATCTTTCAAGTCTCACTTAGTGAAATTTTCGTTGCTGGCTATTTAACCCACCCACGATGGTCCAGTTAGAGGGCGATAATCCTCATTTCTGGGCGGTATCAAAATCAGTGTGTGGGCCAGTCTGGGAACCTGCTTGTGTGTCACCCACAAAATCAAAGCACAGGCTCCGATCTAGCGTCACGTCACACCGGTGGAACATCCGGCCATGGTCCTTATTCCGGGTGTCACATATGTGTGACACCCATCGCAAGCGGGTTAAAGCTCATTTTCACAATCTAGTGAAGTGTATACTTCATTGTCTTGTGTCTAATGCACATGGTGTCAGTAGAGCACAAAGTTCAAAAATATGAATGTAAATATATGTATATGAAATATATACAAAATAACTTTTATCATAAAACAGGTGTCTATTGAGATATCTGTAAGTATCTAGATATAGACATTAAGAATGTGATTGTATGTCATGAGATAGCTCTGTGATACGTCTGAAAGTGGGAAGAGGAAAAGATTAAGAGTTTGGCTGGAAGAAGTATGATGCACACTGCCAGAATTATGACTTCATACTCAATACATTTCTCTTCACAGGAAGATAAAAGAAGCTTAGGCAGAGGAACATCTAAAAGGGGAGTAGGGTTATGGGGCTGATATTGTGGCTGTGGCTGAATGAAACTTACCAAACAGTGGCAAGTTTAATGGAAACTATATCTCATTCACAATGAAAACATTAAGGGAAAAAAATCTTGACGGATTTTGACAGGCCTTCCATGATCATGGCGATTAGGACTTAGTACACATTATGATAGAGTGAACAGGCCTTTAGGAGTTATTGTCATTGTTATTATTGTCATTATAATTTTTACGATCTAATACAATCATCGTCGTAATGAAAGTGGAGAGTTTCATTTCCAAAAAACAGAATGGGGTAAATGGTGAGGTCAAGTTGACTAGATAGTTAAATTCTTAGAGACTGAGCATTTCTGAAGCCATCAAGTGTAGACAAAATAAAACTACAGTGGCCATTTTCTGTATACATACACTCCTGGTGTTTAGGGGTTAAAGCCATATATCACATTTACTGATGTCTGCTTTTTAAACATTCAGGCGAGAGAGACGGGCAGTTTGGCAATCTAGGAAGACAGAACAGGAAGATTCACCAGAATTGTTGGAAGCCAAGTGCGAACAACTTGCACAGGTATGAATATAGCTTTTTCTTTTATTAGAAAAAGGAGAGTTGAAAGGAAATAGATATCAATTGAAACTACAAAAATAAGAAACACTGATTTGTAAAGATATTCCTTCTGAATTATCTACATCTGATGGACTTATTACAAATGATAATGTTGTGGAATTCTTATATTGTGTCTGCTTTAAGGCTATCCATGATGCTGAATTCCTGGTTGTGTACACTGGGGCTGGCATCTCAACTGCAGCTTCCATACCCGACTATAGAGGCCCTAATGGAATTTGGACAATGTTGCAAAAGGGGTTAGACATTGGGTAAGTCCTTTATTATGTGCAGATATTAAACTTTTTTTTCTGTACTATTTGATTACTTGACTTATAAAGAACAGTTGTTTCCTTCAAGTTATATTTGTAAATAGGGTTATCAGTGAATGAGAATTACCTTTATTTGCTAATAATAAGGTTGCTTTTTTGGCTTATGGAGTTTCAGGAGATGTAGGCTCATGTCCATTTTATTATTGATATTTGTAGCATAGGAAACCTTTTTCTCCAGGCACCATGACCTCTCTGCAGCTGAGCCTACTCTAACACACATGGCACTTTCTGCACTTTATCACCAAAGCATTGTGAGACATGTAGTTTCCCAAAACTGTGATGGCCTCCACCTCCGCTCTGGCCTTCCCAAGACAGCAATGTCTGAAGTCCACGGCAACATGTACATTGAGGTAAGGAAGTAAGAGGATGCTGGTGTGTATATATATAGTTTTTGTATTCATGTTTTGGTGAAAGAAGAAGGTAATTGACTGTTTTGTTTCATGAACATTGTGTTAGTCATTTATTCAGTAAAGCCAAAGAATAATTCCACTAATAGTGTATGAGAGGACGTAATATAGTAGCATGTTTTTTTATTTTTTATCCCCTTATCTATCTCCTGTTTTTTTTATGGGGGGGGGTTGTACTTGGTACCATGTATCATGTTAGCTTAAGTCTCATAGTGTTCAAATTCCACTTTTTTTGTGTATTTATTCTTGTCTTTAAGGCCATGGCCTGTCATAATTTTTTTATACCGATCTTCTTAGATTCCCAGTCAGCAAAAAATAGTTTCCTCATTATGTGTCATCTTAGGAAAGATAAAAAGATATGCATATTTTACAGATCTAGATAATGATCTACTAGGGTAAAGTAATGGTATGTTATTTTGTGTGGAATCTTATTGTCTTTCTGATTGCAAAACCAGATTTTGAGTTTGAATCATAGCTAATGAAAATACATGATTGAAAAGTGTTAGTATTGTATTAATTTTATAACATCTTTCATTTCTGTAACTGTAGGGAACCTTCACATATTTTTGGTTGGATATATCCCCCCCCCCCCCCCAAAAAAAAAAAAAAAAAAAAAAAAGGGATTTCATAACACAGCTATAGATTGTGATGGAGTTTGATAGGGAAATAATAAAAGATAAGGTGGCCTTATTTGTTACACACCTGTGCATACCGGGAGTATGTCACATCACTTGGGCAGCAGACACACCTATTGAAATAATTTTTAAAACTATTTACTGGAAAATTACATCGAAATCATATGCTCATAGAATTGACTTGAATGATGTTTTGATTTTTTATTTATTTATTTATTTATTAATACTAGTACAATTTTCTTCATTTATGTTGCATTTTGTTGAGTTGAAAGTGTACGATTTTTTCTTTTTTTTTATGTAATTGAGACAGAATTTTGCTTTTCTTGAAAATTCAAACACAATTATTGAGGATGATAAAAGGAAATATGAAAATCAGCAGTCCCAGTTCTAGATAATGATTGAAGGATATCACTGAATTTTTGCAGCTGCTTTGGTTGTTTATTGTAATACAAGTTAGCCTGAGAAAATGGTGTGAAAAACAAGAAAAAATACAAATTTATTTTTTATTATATATAGGAAAAAATTCTAGGTCCCATATTAGGGGTACCCAAAATTAAATGATGCCAGTCTCCTTAACCCACTAGCGCTGGTATATTTTGAAGCTGAAAATAATAGTTTCTGGGTGGCTTCAAAATTGGAGCATGAGGCTGGCCCGGAATCTGTCTTACGCTGGCTGCGGCTGTGACGGAATCGGCACGAAAGCTTCGATCCAGTGTCATACCGGTGGGACGCCCGGCAATTTTTTTTTCCAGGTGTCTCATATGTGGGACACCCGTCGTAAATGGGTTAAACCCACACAGGATCCCAATACCATACGAAACAAAGTGTTGGGTGACATGCCGAGTCAGTTGGTCGTTAAATCACAGCTTGTCTCTGAAGAAAAGGGGAACTTGAAGCAGATTTGTTAGAATATATTAGTAAAGAGGGCTAATTTCAACATCATGACATATTACTTGATCTCATTATTCCAGATATAACCTATCTGAACCTAACCAAAAAATCTTTCCTAGAATTTACTTATCATTGGAAAATTAAATACCAAAATCATGATGTTTCCACAGGCTGTGCTGTGCTGCCCAGGAATGGAAGCAAAAGGTCATGAAACGATAAAATGTTACTCTGTGTCTGGTATTTTTTGCCATTATGGGATGACATATCATGGGATAAAGAGTTGATGTCATAATATGAAGCAAAAG